TTTTACTTATTTTTAAATTTAATTTAAATAAAATTAATATTAAAATAGTGATAAAAAGGCCACGTCATCGTCACGCAGGATATAAAAAAATAATAAAAAAGTCACGTCGGCATTTTTTGTTAGTCAAATTAGACGGTGTTAACTTTAGGATTTGATTGAATCAATTTGATAAATTTTAGGACTCGATTGCACCTTTTACAAGTTTTAGGACTTGATTGTACTTTGGTGACAAGTTTTAGGACTTCTAGTGAACATATCCTTTTTTTTTTTAATTTTGGGATTAGTGCACTAGAAATCCTAAAACTTGTCATAAAAGTATAATTGAGTCTTAAAACTTTAAAAAAATACGATATTCTACGTGGCTAAAACATGAAGAAGAAGACCAAAACAACGTTGTTATTTTCAAATATGATTTTTAAATCTAAATATCATTTAAATTAGATTAAAAAAATAAAATTTAAAAAAGGAGGAGGAAGGCAGAATAGCTTGAGGCCCTTGCTGTTGCTGCCCACCATTGTCGGAAAGTGCTGGCAATGGTGCGGTGAGTGTTGATCGGGGACCCTAGTTGACCGCAGGTGAGGCTTGTTGGCCCTCGCGCGAATCTTGGGCAAGGGTTGCGACCCTCCCCCAAATTTGGCTGAGGCTTGACAAGCCCTTGCCCACGGTTGGCCAGGGTCGCCAACCATTAATTGAGGCCTGACAACCCAAACTGACCCTCACCACACCATCGCCTCCTTGCCCTCTCGACTGCCAAATTTGCGTGAGGGTCGACGACCCTCACTCGATTAGGGGTAGGGCCCCAACCCTCGCCCAAGTTCTACGCAAGGGCTGGTAGGCCCTCACCTTCGGGCGGCCAGGGTCACTAGTCATTGGCCGAGGCCCAGTGACCCTGGCCGACCCTCACCTAGATCTAATTTAAATATATTTAGATTAAAAATCAGATGTGGATCAAAATAACGTTGTTTCGGCCTTGTTCTTCATGTTTTAGTCATGTCAACACCATGTAAGAGAGATGAAATAATAATAAAAAGCCATGTCAGCGTATTCAGTTAGTCAAGCTGGACAGAGTTAACGGAAGGAATTGATTACACCAATTTGACAAATTTTAGAACTTGTTGTACTTTCGTGACAAGTTTTAAAACTTTCAGTGGACTTATTTCTAAATTTTTTGACTTTTTGGCGCCAAATTACATATCCTCATAAAATACAATGTTTTTCATCTCCAAATCCCATTTTAGGAAGCTTGATTTTTATGGAAATTTTTTTTTTCTTCTTTATGGAAAAGATTGGAAGGGAAGTAATTGATGCATTTTCCATAGAATTTCACCGTGCCCGACTATGGCAATATCGACTATGCACAAGTTTAAAGAACTTGCATTCACAATATCACATGTCCCAGGATATGCCACGCCTATTGGTCTATACCTTGCATCCTATATGTCTATGCCGCATACTCTCTCTTGTGTTACCACATTACCTCGCATGTCTATGTCTATGTCATGTCATTTGAATGTGCCTATGTCATGTCACCTTACATGTCATGTTGCCACGTCATCTCGCATGTTCATGCAGTGTCATCCAACATGTCATGTTGTCATATCATCATGAATATTTGCACGTTATTTTTTATGAGTGGCAAGATTGGGTGAGAATGCAAAATGAATTACACTGAAAGAAAAGTATTTGCGGAAAAAAGAAGTTTGAGATAGAAGAGTTCATCAGCAAAGCAAAAAGCATTGCTCCACCGGTTAATGATAAAGAATTTGAAGGTTCACCACCAACGGATTGGATTAAGAACCAAAAGAAACACTCACTTGAGAGAAATTCTCATATATTACCAACTCTCAAATTTGCTTCTTACAAGGAAACTTCAGATTAGAAAACCTTAAATTAGGAAATATCAAAATAGGAAAAGTTAAAATAGGTAATCTACGAGGAAATATCAAACTGGGAAACATCAGATTAGGAAATAAACTCTAACTAAGAAACATTTTTCTACTAGTCTTTGATCCAGCTGAAGGAACCTTTATCCCCCATCTTCAATGTATTCTCCTTATTGGACCCACCAGATCATGCTGTGATCGAATTCTCCCTTTGCTTGCTTAAATATCAAGTGAACTTTAATTAGAATTTGATGCTCCCGCATCAATTTTGCCACTTTTTTTTTAACATATTATCATGTCATCATGCATACATACACATGTTTCATCGAAAAGACAAAATATCTTTCGAGTGTAATGGATTGATAGATGTGAATCGCTAAAGGTTGCATAAGGTCCTTTGTTGATTTAGGACAACAAAATGATAAGAAATTTAAAGCACGAACACCAAGAACAATCGTTGCCAATAATGTCAATTGCAAAAAAGATAAGATAAAGATTTGTAGAAGAATGTTAAGTTCCATAATTGATTAGGGGGTCTTCACAAACGATACAACATAGGTATTTATAGCCCACAATCAACTATTACTAAAAAATTAAACATGCGCGATATGGCTCTTATTATTCAAAAATATTAAACGGTTACATTTGAGATTGTCAACTTCATCACTCGACGGTTATATCGACTCCGCTAGTTTGACAGTTACATCGGTTCCACTATCTTGGCGGTTACATCGACTTCACTACTCAATCGTTGGATCGACTCCTTCGATTCAGCACTTAGCCACTGCTTGTTGACATCTCTGTCGGTCAGAATTGGATGTTCTTGTCAACTGGTTGCGCTTTATTGACTGATTATTCTCAACACTTGCCCAATTTTCACTCCTGTTGTACCTCTAACAGGTTTTCATCCAAACTGTCGACTACGGGTGCGCATGGAATGCATTCCGGAACAGAATGACGTTTGTTAAAAAATTTCCAAAATGCATTCTGGAGCGATTTTTGCATTCTAGAATAAAAATGCGTTTGTTAAAAATACTTGATTCCAGAATGCATTCTTGATTCCAGAATGCATTCTTGATTCCGGAATGAGTTTTTGGTAAGAAAAAGAGAAGCTACTTTTTGTAGCTTCTTGATTTCGGAATGCATTCTCCCTATTTTCTCACAATTTTTTTTTTCAGAAAATGCATAAAAATTGAAAAATTCTAGAAAAATTCATAAAAATTTCCAGAAAATAAAAAAAGTCAAATTTCGGGAAAATATGAAATTTGGTGAATTTTTTTTTAAAAAATAAAAAAAATCAAAAATTTCAAAACTTCACAGAATAGCTTAAAACACATGTGCCCACCCACTTTGAGTGAAATTTAAATTTTTTGAGGTGCCAAAAAAAAATCAAAAATTTCAAAACTTCACAAAATGGCTTAAAATACCTATGGCCACTTATTTTGAGTGAAATTTAAATTTTTTGAGGTGCCCAAAAAAAATAAAAAAATAAAAATTTTCAAAACTTCACAAAATGGCTTAAAATATCTGTGGCCACCCACTTTGAGTGAAATTTAAATTTTTTTAGGTGCCCAAAAAATAAAAAAAAAATAAAAAATTTCAAAACTTCACAGAATGGCTTAGAATATCTGTAGCCACCCACTTTGAGTAAAATTTAAATTTTTTGAGGTGCCCAAAAAAATAAAAAAATAAAAAAATTCAAAACTTCACAAAATGTCTTAGAATACCTGTGGCCACCCACTTTGAGTGAAATTTAAATTTTTTTAGGTGCCCAAAAAAAATTAAAAAAAATAAAAAATTTCAAAACTTTACAGAATGGCTTATAATACATGTGGCCACCCACTTTGAGTAAAATTTAAATTTTTTAGGTGCAAAAAAAATCAACAAATCAAAACAAATTTCTGGAGCAGAATTAGTCATGTTTTACCAAACAGATTTCTCCTCCAGAAATCAATTTCTGGCAAAAATTCTAGAAATCAATTTCTGGCAAGAATTTGATTTTCTGGAGCAGAATGGTTACCATTCGCACCCTACAACACCTGCACATTTTTTGGTGTCAACACGTTATGTTGTCTTGGAGCTCGAATTTTTGCTCAAACATGGAGGAACAATCAACCTCAGCTGACACATTAGATGATGTTGGAGTTCGATTCGCTTAAGAAAGCGAGTTGTGACGTCTAGATATTAAGTTTGGTATGTTTAGGAAAGGTGCAAAAAGTCTAAAGAGGATCGGAATCAATAGAGCGGACATTCGCACAAATGCATGGAGTCGGGATCGGACGCCGACACATTACTAGTCGAATGTCTGACTCGGACATTAAACCTCGCCCATCATAGTTTTGGAAGTTCAGTGAGCTGGAGGTCGAAAGGCATCATTTTCTCTAGGGGTGAGCGGTTTTAGGTTCAGTCCAGGTTCCACTTGAAACCTGAAACCTAGGTTCCCTAAATTTTGGAACTTAGAACCTACCTACATACACAGGAATTCGGAACCTATCCTGTTATGGGTTTCAGGATCTACTTAAACTTTACATGTATTATTGATTGAACGATTGCAGTGAATCATCACCTCTAATGACCACAATTTGTTACAATCTATTTATCACAACTTATATTAAAAACGCGAAAAATATAAAACGTTAAAAAAAGTAAAAGTCTTAGTCATGGATATCATCGAAAATGGAAGCTCATATTAGTAGTTTCAGATTAGACACTCATTATTGAATACCATGGAATGACGTAGGATCGCGCGAAGACATGGAACATGAAAAACACAAAGACTTGTTCCAACTTCTAAGTGACCTGGAACCTGAAACCTATCCGTCGGAACAGATTTCTCAATTTTTAGAACTTAAAACTTACCTCCCATATCCTAGAATCTGAACCCCTGAAACCATGCTCGCCCCTAATTTTCTCCATGATTTTAGCTCTTTTTTCAACTTATACTCACATGTTCAGGTCATATTTTCAACGAGCATCAAAATCATATATCTTCTGAAAAAAATAATAATTATGGTGTAACTTATTTTTTTGTTGGTCCATTTTTTTTTTGGAAACCGAAAAAGGGAAAATCGATATATACCAGTTTCGTCGGGGTTTAAAGGAACCGCAGTCCTACGTCCCCTCTCTCTCTCTCTCTCTCTCTCTCTCTCTCACAACCACTCTCAAATCGGTCGCCGGAGAACGAATGACGTCGTCGTCGGCCGCGGCCACGGCCACGGCGGAGGCGGCCGACCCCGCCGCCGCCCCTTACAAGCCCTACGTCCTGGCGAAGACCCTGAACGGCCACAAGGCGGCCATCTCGGCCGTGAAGTTCTCCCCGGACGGCAACCTCCTGGCCTCCTCCTCCGCCGACAAGACCCTCCGCGCCTACTCCACAGCCTCCCTCTCCCCACTCCACGACTTCCACGGCCACTCCCAGGGCGTCTCCGACCTCGCCTTCTCCGGCGATACCCGCCTCCTCGCCTCCGCCTCCGACGACAAGACCCTCCGCCTCTGGGACGTCCCCACGGGGACCCTCCTCAAGACCCTCCACGGCCACACCAACTACGCCTTCTGCGTCAACTTCAACCCCCACTCCAACCTCCTCGTCTCCGGCTCCTTCGACGAGACCGTCCGCGTCTGGGACGTCAAGAGCGGCAAGTGCCTCAAGGTCCTCCCCGCCCACTCCGATCCCGTCACCGCGGTCGATTTCAACCACGGCGGCACCATGATCGTCTCCAGCAGCTATGACGGGCTGTGCCGGATTTGGGACGCTTCTACTGGGCACTGTATGAAGACCCTCATCGACGATGAGAACCCTCCGGTGTCTTTCGTCAAGTTCTCGCCGAACGGCAAGTTCATCCTCGTGGGGACTCTCGATAATACTCTGGTAATGTCTCGAGCTTGTACTGTTGTCCCTCTCTTTATTCAATTGAAAAGCCGATGATTTTGTGGTGGGGTTTTAGTGTGGAAGATTCTAAGGATGTGTTGGTGATGCGATTAGGGCTTTTTCTGGTGCTCTGTTTCGTTTGATGGACTGATAGTGGAGCTTTAAGATGCTAAAGTTTGTATCTTTAGGCTGATGTTGTATGATTCTACTTAGGTTCTAGAAGGTGAAATTTTGTGCACTTGTCTGCCTGGTTGCTGTCTGTTCGCCTTGTCACTGTGCGTACGAGGTTGAAGGTGTTTGCTAGTCAAGCTTGAGATGGAATGTTCTATCTGCAAATGTAATGCTGGCGGTGGACTTTGTTCCTTTTATCCTCCTTGTATTTGGCAAGGCGACCTTCATCAATGAAAGGCAAAAGAATACTTTGATCACGCCATGGGAATGGAAATACTGATGATGAAAAACTAAGGAACTATCTGTTCTGCCAATGACTTCCTTTTAGTATCATTTTGGGATGTTGGGTCGGTTGAAGGAGCATTTGCTTGCCTCTGCACTTGAGAGCTCTTCCAAACTTTATATGTGAGGAACTTTTGTCAGATTTAATGGTTTGCTCGATTGTGTCAATTTGGTTCTTTACTATTATGCTGAAAGCAGCTTTGGAGAACTTTATTTCTGATCGGTTCCTCTGTTCTAGCTGTGGTCAAAATTTAGCTTTGTGGCGGACTTGCATCTTCTTAGTAATGCATGGCGTTGAGGAAATTATTTCCCGATTTCACCTACTCTTTTGTCTTGAAAACATGTTTATTTTCTTTTGTTCTCTGTTTTATTTTTGTTGCAGAAAATGTGCATTCTTCTTTGTTTCCAGACATGCCTTGATGCCTTTAATCTACTGAAAGAACCCTACCAACCATTGTCCAATGATTAGTAGAATACTAGAACTTTAGGGAAAAGGTCTTCGGAATTGGTGTTAATCCCTTCAAAGATGAGAGCTTCCCAAGCTCTTAATCTTATGGGTCAGTTCCTTCCCCTTCCGCCTATTGTCATGAGAACAAAAAGGAAGGACGATGAATAGCAAAAACTTTGGGTGTTTTATCTTCTCATTTTGGCCCCTTTTTGTTAGCTAACTTGGATTCTTATATTGTGCTTGCAGAGACTATGGAACATATCCACAGGAAAATTTATCAAGACATATACAGGTCATGAAAATTCAAAATATTGTATTTCTGCTTCTTTCTCAGTGACAAATGGGAAGTATGTTGTGAGTGGTTCGGAGGATAAATGTGTATACCTGTGGGAGCTACAGACGAGAAAAGTAGTACAGAAATTGGAATGTCATACTGATGCGGTCATATCAGTAGCTTGTCACCCGACAGAGAATATGATCGCATCAGGGGCACTGGGCGATGACAAGAGTGTGAAGATCTGGACACAAGAAAAAGATTGATCTCTTTAGGATAACCTTTTTTATGGGGATTAATTGTGCGGTATTAATGTAAATCTTGACCCAGGTTAGATGTTTTTTTTCTCCCTTCTGAGATGCATCTAAAGATTTTGTTCTTTATGGTCCGAGTTGGTCAGACTGGTTTGTTCAGATAACCTTTTTGGGTACGTGTATGTGACATCTTTAACTGTTTATGTATTCGAAGGCATCATTAAGTTGTTCAGATGTACTCTTATGAAGTTACTCTTATTTAATAATCCTCCGATGCAATCATGCAAGTAACTAGGTTTGCCCTGAGGCTGAACTGAGGTGTTGACAATGATAAAAACCGAAGCCAATAGTAGAAGAAATAGCTGTGCATAGTGTAAGAACTGAAAGGTAAACTGGAAAGTGTTGTACCTGTGGCTTCTGATGAGTAGTGGCGAAGTCTACTTCTCCACTACGATAGTGTAACAATGAGCATTATAAGAGAAATGATTTTACTATGAAAGCTATGGATGTAATAAGACATGATTTTTACTGTAACAGCTTTGGATGTATCGAATGAGGAAAAGTTATGATTTTGTGGAGGATTATCTTTTTGCTTAATGAATTCAGACGCACGCCATGATTTCGTAACGTATGGTAGATGTATAGTATAGATTTGGCTTGATTTTGCTGAGTTGGCAGTTTATGACCTGAGATTGTGATTACTGTTCTGTTTTAACAATGCCTTGTTGACAAATTTTTAGTCTTACCTAGTTTTGAGTAAGGTAATCGTATTTCCAAATAGCTGCACGCTGTCCTTCTGCTACTAAAACATAACCTCACGGTCAGTTAGGGAGTAGCTTACTGTCTTTACGATGGTTTCATTGTATCAAGAGTTAAAAAGTTCAGAACTATTATTCTTCCCTGTGGTCTTCTAGCATATAGTAACTTTCTTTACGATCATCATCTAGTTTTATCGGCTGTTATGTGCATTGGTTCGACAACACTCAACTACCTCTGTAATGGTATTTCTTTGTTCGACTGTCTTATTTTTGTTCTCTAGGAAGGTACCGTTGTCACGCTGCTATTATCATCCTATCATTTGATGTATTGAACTGTTTTTCTCCATGTCTTTCCTTGTTTTTTTCTCTAACAACGAGTTGTCGTGGGCTTTTTAAGCATTTGAGTGATGTCCATGATTGTTGTCGTAATTTGGACATTCCGATTATGGCAATGGATTCACTGTTGTCTTCATTATTCGTACATAAATGATGTCCGTAAGGTTTCGCGACAAATTTTTTTCGTGCTGTTCTTCCGGTGATATGGATTAGGTTCTTCTGGGCTGTGCTCATTTGACATCAGGTTTAGATGTGGATCATATTGGGCGGACGACTATTCTTCTGGTAGATGATGAAAAGATGCATGGTGCTCCAATGGAGATGTCAGATTCTAACCGAGATTGAGTCCTGCAAACTCTGAATCTCTTGGTAGTAATGGTCGATTTCCAATAATCTCTCCCTTCGTGAGTTGATTCTGTCATCCACTTCCCAATCCAGCTTTCCAGATACGGTAATCTTTGCTGCTCAAATTTAAACAAAAGAAACAAACCCCAAGGTTGCAGAAGCTGGATGAAGCGTCTATGGAACTTTTACTTCACGAATCGGAAGTCTATCTGTTCTTGCAAACGACGTGCAAGTTACTTTGAGTTCGGATTATCTGCACAGACAATAAAATCTGAACTTGATTAGTTTTTGGGGCTTGCAAGGTAATTTATGAGTTTCTAGATAATTTGATCTTTGTGTTGGTGTTTCCATATTGACAAAAATATTATTTCAAAATCGATGCAAAATATTCGTTAAAACTGATACTGTAATTTAAAATCAATTTAAACAGTTTAAGTTAATTGTCCAAAAAGTTCTAAATCTATTATACGACGACTAATTCAGTCCGAAACTTTTTAATTTGGCTAATTTAGTTCTATACATTTTGATAATTTTTCAAAATAGTCATTTCAGTCAATTTTGGTCAGAAATCACTAACGTGGCAACCCAGTTAGGCCGACTGTCTTACATAGCATGGGTGGCGTTGACGGAGAGGAGTTTTACAATTTAAAAAAAAATTGAATTATTTTTTTTCCTTTTTGCCCTTTTTTTCTTTCTTTTTTTATTCCTTCTTTAATTGCGGTCGTTGGGCCTCGGCGATGGTTAGCAAGGTTGAGGGTCTACCTCACCGACCACTAGCGAAAAGGAAAAGAAAAGGCAAAGAAAAGAAAAATTTAAAGAAATTGCGAAAATCATCATGTCACCCCTGCCGTGCCACTTAGGATGCTTAGCATTTATATCAATGATTTTTGGCTAAAATTGACCGGAATGACTACATTGTAAAATTGTCAAAATTTTAGGACTGAATTGACCAAATTAAAAAGTTTAGGACCGAATGGCTGCCATATAATAAGTTTAGGATTTTTGGACAATTTTCCCTCACAAAAGAGGAAAAAAAAAATCTCTCCTGAATATATCTTGGCATCGAACATAATTTGAAATTGACCTAACCATTGGATTGTCCATCTCATGTTGTGCTTAATTAGTTGGCATTAACATGCATGGTGCACCCAATTCGATTAATTTATACGCATTACCACGTGCAGTTCCAATTCCCATTTCATTGTAATTATATATGGAGGTATGGTAACACTCTATCTATGAAATTGAGAAAGGATTATATGACAATCCTTAATGTATTATGAGAATAACAGTATGTTTTGGACTACAAAAAAAAAATTATAAATTATTGTTGGGTCCACTCTTTCAAGAATTTAGGCTCACAAGATGTTGTTACTCTCACAGTGATCCAAAGACTGTTATTCTAGATTGAAAGAGACGTGAAAGATAGAAGCGCTATTCAATAATAATGGACAATAAAATATGTTTTATAATTCTTGTTAATCAGGGTTTTCAAGACGTTTGTTAAACATGCTTAATGGAGAAATATATGATTTTTCGAATTATATATCGTAAGTGCAGAAGCATTAAGAGGAGAAAACACTCCTGTTTTTTTTTTATTTATCACATTACCTGCCAACAAAACAATGGGAGGAAAAGCATTTGATGCGGGTGTTGGGTTGAAGGGGGAAAAGAAAGCACTCTTATTTAGCATACTTAATAAGAGTGATTTGTTCGACCAAAAAAAAAATAAAAATAAGAGTGATTTGATTTTCTTTCTTCTCTTTTTGTTGATGACGAAAACACCCACCTTAAGCAAGTAGATTTTAGGCCCTTGAAATATCAGGCTATTCTTGTGGAGTAGGTAAGATGCGAATCAAAATTTGAATGGGTGACATAAATATGAAATTATCTAAAAAGTTTTACTTTAAGACCATCAATTAAAAATTCCGAGAAAAGTAGATGGATTTTTTTTGTTAGAAAAGTCAATTAATTGCAAATTATAAATTTTCTTCATTCACCTACACTAAGTATCATAAAGACACTATTATATAAAAGCCTAAGTTGCTTAATGGTAAATTACATCTCTCATCCTTTTTGGATTCTACTTTCGATCTCTTTCTCTTTACTTTTTACCTATCAAATAAAAAAAGAATAAGATCAATTATCTCCTCCATCCTTTTCTCTTTGCAATTGATTTTTTCTCCACTTTCCTTTTCCTTTTATTTTAGCTTTTGCCAATTCCTTCTTATTAAGAGAGCAATAAAAGAAATCTGCTCGTGCTCCATGTGATGGGGGTCCTGTAGGTCTCATGGAAGCTTCATATTTCTCCTGCATTATAATATTTAAGATGTCACGATCTAAACGAGATCCAGGTGGTTGGTTTAACTAAGAATTTTATATTGGAAGTACCCCTTTCAAAGAAAACTTCTAGAAGCAGAAATAATATAGTGTACGAATTTATTAGAGACACGTTGAGAAATAGTATTCATAGAAAGAAGTGTCGTCCATCTCTATCACTGGTTGTTGTCGGATCAAAACAGATGAAGTATCGCCGGATTAATTGTAAACTTTTTGACACTTTAATATAAAAATTATGATACATGTACATAATTACGATAAGTTATAGTCAGCGAATCAGTGAATATCTCTTTTTTCTCTGGATTAAAAGGGCAATATAATGATATAATCATCTTGCGTTTGATTCTCCATTAAATTCAGTCATTTTATTATTAATGAACTGGAATCTCTCTCTCTAGCCCCAAAAAGAAAGAAAGAATTGGAGTGTCACGCCCCGTATCCCACGGCACGCAACATCCCTACCTCGGTTGACAAACTGCGACGTCTCAGGAAACGTCGCCGACCCAACGGCCAACAGAGATCAAGCACAAGCGGAAGAAATAAACAAACCCTGACAATAATAAAATACGAGCCAAGGATAGCCAAGCAATAAACAACGATTAACGCAGAAAATATGTACATACTTATATTACTATTTTAAAACTCTTTTTACAGCGTTCACTACAACCAAAAAGGAAACACCAACAGCTGGGAATAACCAAACAGCCACTTCTCATTTCTGCTCCGTCTCCACCGGGGTGCATGCTTGACGACCGCTGGATAAAATGCGGTATCCCAAAAAGAGGTGATGTCCTCGGCATTCTACGGCTGGGGGTCTGAAAAGTTTCGGTTTACACAACCGTGAGACGAATCTCAACGAGTTCAACCCCTAAACCTAGGTTAGGCTAGCATGCAATCTCCTGACCGGAAACAAATACTTAGAAATCATAACACAACAACAATCAATGATTCTCTGACCCTGCAGGTTAGACAATTCAATATATATATATATATATATATATATATATATATATATAACAATCACGGCACATACGTGGCACACATTATCACACATACGCCAATCACATGCTCATGCACCGATTCTCACACTTTCGCATGCCAGTCCATGCATGTTCATGCATGCAAATGTCGTGGACATGTCACGTGCATTTTCCGGCCCACTGGCCCACCCTGGCACACTGGCAATCGCCCAATTTAGTATTCATTACGACTCGAGTCGACAATATTCACGGCCCGGTGCGTCTAGCCTGCTTCAAAGTGGATGAGACGCAGCAACCGATCTGGCCCAGTGTCTCTAGCCTGCTTCAAAGTGCATGAAGCGCAACACTGATCTCCTTACGAACCAGAGCCTGCTTCAAAGTGCATGAGGATGGTCGTCTTCCGGACGTACCGGGCATCGTCCTGCTTCAAAGTGCATGAGGACGGCATCGACCCAAAGGTCACGACCCGAAGG